ATTACTCTTAACTAGAGGATTGTATGTGTTACACAAAACCCTAAAATAACCAAAAATAGTGAGTGGTATTCATCACTGATTTCATTCCACTGAAGTTAGCATAGACACAATGAGGAAAAGACGCTGGATCAGCATCTCAACTACCTGTATTTAGACGAGTACTAATTAAACAAACTCCATTCAGCAATTGTTCCTGCAAACCCTAATCCTTTTAATATGTAGTCACTTGAGACTACTTTAAAACACTTGAGATATCATACACAATAATATTGCAGAAACATAGGAAACACCCCAAAAAGAAATAGAAAACAAACACAGACACTGTTCACCACGTCTGTATAAACTCAACATATTCACATAATTAATATTTTGGAAATTCAAATAAAGAAGGATCACGCTGTCTGAAATTTAGTTGTTTCAACATTCTTTTACACTGATACTTTATGTATCTACTCCCTACAGGGAATAGTTGAAGACTAGCAATGTTTATAAATCATTGTGTAAGTAGTCCCAGAAGTATTTAACTATAGCAACATTAAATTCACATTGACCAAATTTAACAAAAAGATGTGGGTTTTGCAATGACTTTTTTTATCATTTACACACAAATCCAGTCACACCTGTGATGATGAAGAGACTTAATGCCATACTTTTGATTTGGTGGGGTGGGTGGGGGTGTGGAGCTTTTTGTGAATTAGTTGTTTTCTGGGGGGCGTTGCTTTGGTTTTTGGGCGCTTGCTTATTTTTTCTGATTGCATCTGGGTTTTTTTGAAATTCCTCCGAGGAATTAATTACTTAATATTTATTATAAGATGCACGCTCCCTGTGGGGATGAGCAGGGGAGAAGGACATGTCCTGCCACCTGCCTGTGGTGCCGCTCCCCCAGACTCCGCAACAGCCGCTCCGGCGGCCGCTCCTCGCGGGCGGGGGCTGGGGGGGCTCCATGAACCCCTCCCCGCCGCGGGACGCCACTGCCACCTGCTGAGGGCACTGAGCTACTGTCGGTCCGGCCCCCGGCAGCCCCCCGGTCCCCCAGAGGTGGTCCCCGGTGCAACCTCTGGGGGACCGGGGCGCCGCCGGGGCCGGGAATTGCGGAGTGTGCAGAGGATGCTTTCACTTGGATGCGAGTGTTCACCCAGCAGCATCACAGCGCTAGAGACGGTGTCAAATAAAGATAAATTTAGGGCCGTCTGTTTTCTTTCCATTCCCTCCCCACAGCTACTTAGTTTACCAGTTCCAGCCTTCTAAAGCAGCCGGTTAGTAGGTCTTAAGTTAAAAGAAATGATGTTTAGAGTCTTCATGGTTGTGGAGCATCTCCAAAATGTGTGTTTTGCTGTAATTTTTTTTTAGAAAGCACATTGTTTGATTTCAAAGATGTGCTGTAGGAAGAGAAGGTGCTGTTTCAGTGGGCAGCAAATAATTATGCAAGAGAAGATAAGGTTACATGATGGAAATTATTGCTCCTAACTAATCTGGTGCATGAACACAAAATGCCTTTAATAAGGCTCCCCAACCAAAAGCATTGTATGAAAGAAATTGTCATTTGCCATAATAAAGAAAGAAAACATGTTTGTTTTGTAAGAGGGAATAAGATCCTAATCATTACTACTTGGGGTCTAAAGCAATATTGGTCTTCCAAAATTGTCATCAGCATTGCAAATGCTCCCCTCTTTAGGAAATCAAGTCAGTAATTCCTCATCAGTTAAGCAGAAATAAACAACAAAATGTTTATTACTTTCTAGGGCCCATTTGTTTCGGCAGGAAACTATCTCCACTGTTATGCTACTCAAGTGTACAGATTCGCTCTGGAAACGGAGACGTATCCTTATCTGTATGGATTTAAATATGGAAAGAGACAGTGAATGGAAAGAACAACTTCAATACGATATTTTAGGTTACAACTGAATCGTGTGTTTATGGCCTCAGACAGTGTGCTCTGCAAAATGTTCCAAAACACTCATTTCTAAGCTTTCAACTATTTCCCCCTTCTGCTCCAGAGAAACATTTTGAGGAAGAAAAAAAGAAAAAAAGTTTGCTATCAGGATCTGGCATAAAGAAGGTAGAATAATTATGATAACTACTTCCAACTGAGTTATAAAGGCAGCTTGTTGCTTTTACTTACCACCCATCTTTATCACCCAGACCATCACTTCTTTTTAAAATATGTAAGAGTTTTGCTTCCAGTACTTGATCTTTACATTATAAAAGCAATCTTAAACTCATAGTTTTATAGTGCACCTTTTAGAAGATAATGGCTTAAATTTCTAGTTTCCCTCTTTATTGCAGTGATATGATAGCTGCTTCTATAAACCAATCTAGATAATATGTCATATCTCTCTTCAGCAGCTACTGCACACATGATATAGGAAACTCTCCTGCTACTGGTTACTCATTAAAGTTAAGTGATAGGGATCCACATGGCAAGGTTAAATTTCAACACTTTAAACCCTGCTGAAAGTTGCTAATAATAATGTTTAATTTTCATTCCAAGCATTTATGGTATCATCAACTTGAGTCGATTGTTTTATTCTCATTAGTTGGAACCAATGAACCTCCCCGCAGAATGAAAATCTTCAGGCAGAATAACCAAATAGAGCCAGAATTTGACCCCTGCTTAAACTAAACAACCTAAATGGGTTTAATGTGAATGTCCGATTAACTAGAGGCAAAGTTTGATTAAGATTTTCAAAAAGGGCTAGAGATTTCAACACTCTAGCAGGGAAACTTTAACAAAAATATGATATTCAAACTGGGAAAGCTCAATGCTTTCTTTAAATCATCTAGCATGTAGGGCAATTAAAATAACTATTCCCTTATAAAAATAGTATTAAATGCTGCCTTTTTATTTGGGGATAATAACTACATTTGCAACTAATCATCACCCATAATCTCTTGACAGTGAAAAGTATTCCTGCAAAAAATTCAGCCAAGTTCAAACCATCTCACAGGAAAAGAAAGAGATGAGAAAAGGAAGGATGTTTGCTATGGCAGAGAGAGCTGGAGAAAGGAATGGGAAGCCAATGGGCTGCAAAGCATTGGGACCCATGGTGGAGACACAGCAGGCACCTGGTCCTGTGCTGTTCTTCAGGGTTATGCTCACATGACACTGTGCTATGATGCCTCTCTCTGCTCATTCTCCTGTCCTTCTCGTTTTTGGAGAAGCAATTGGAGGAGCTATTATACCAAAGGCAGAAACCACTGTTATCCTTTCAACCCTCTGCCCCCTACACATAAGGTTTGTGATTTTGTAGCAGGGGCAGGATATCAGCAGTGACAGATGCTTATATGTCTTAGAGTATTGACCAGGTCAAACTTATCAATGGGTTTTTATTTCACAGGGTAGGTCATAAAGTATTCATTGCTCAAGGTCATCTAGACTCATGGAATATTTTAGGTTGGAAAGAACTTCTAGAGGTCATCTACTCCAACTTACCCAACACATGGCTCTCATCAAATTTACATCAGGTTCCTTGAGGCCTGCTAAGCTTTGAAAAACTCCAAGGACAGAGATTTCACATCCTATATGGGCACCTGTGCCAGTGTCCAACCACCCTAATGTTAAAAGATCATGGGTTTTGCCTTATATCTATATTTGTACATCTTACTTCTCATGCAAATACTTCCCCGCTAAATCTGGTCTATGGTATTTAATCATCCTCTCCTCAGCCCTGCAAGAATATTAAAACCCACTTTTGGTTATATGTTTCCTTGCAGACAATGATATATGCAGAGACACAAAACAAGATAGCTTTAGAAATATCACAGCTTCTATTTTATTCCTCTTTTGAAATAGAATATCTACCTCCAGCCTTTCTCTAGGAATGCAGCTGTTAGACCACCACTTTAAGCAGCATGTGAAAATGCCCTGTTCTGAACTATCATCTTATTCCCCATGTTTATGATTCCTGCTTACTTGTCATTATAAATTCTGTGTCATTATTGTTCCTGTCTCACAGCCTTACTAGATCACCTAGATTCCTCTTAATACTTGCTTTCTTATTTTCCGTCTTTCTCCTGATTGAGATTTTTGAAGTGCATGCTTTAGGATAAGATTTAAGAACATGAGCAAGTCAAGTGCCTAACTATGCCTGTAGAAGCCTACGGTATTCCTTTCTGGTGTGCTGTGGTTCCAACAGTTCCAACTGAATGTCTTTACTCATCCAAGAGGAGCTCTTGAGGGGCCCTACTGACCTTAGACACTCTCACCTCCACCTTTACAGTTCATCTATTGACAGGAATAAATCTCACTGAATTCAATAGGAACAGAGTAACAGAAAGGAGGAGTCCCAAGCATACAATTCCTACCAAAGGTTTCCAACCAGTAGTTGTCCTCTGATACACTAACGGAAGGATAGCTGTAAGAGTTCTTATTTATTCCAGCTTTCTGTGGTGCCTCTAGCTTATGAGTAAGTTCTTGTTATGTCACTTGAGTAACTCAAAGGGCACATTTTATTAAAATTCCTTGAGTATCATAAATGCTGTCCAATTATTTGCACAGGTACATCAACAAGGCCAAATATCTTTTTATTTTTTATGAAAAAGGGCAGTAAATTTTTTTTTATTTTAAAATATATCTTCAGAATATATTAGGGTGGTGATTAACCATCTAATTTAGAAAAAATGTTACTCCAGTTACAAAGAATTACAATAATTTAGTTTCAAGTCCTACATTTATGCTATGAATAAAACTTAAGATGCAAGAACATTTGTATGCAAGATGAACAGCTAATGATCTTTAGAGAATATTAAATCACTCCTAGACCTTAAGAGAGAGTTTAGATGACAAGAAACACTTTGTGTTAGCCCCTAAAATTTGAAGTCCTATTCCAAGAGCAGAAACCAGACTCCTATAATAGGACCAGGCCATCTCAACAATGCATGAAGTGTATAGGCACCTTCACATGAGGGTCACAGAAGCCAGGGCACTAAACAAGGAACCTTTTAAACTTGCCAGAAGCATGCAGACACATCCCATATGTGAGATTAGTGATGCTGCCTACCTGTCCCAGTAGTCAGTGGCCAGAGTACTCCCTCAAGCCTCAGCATGGTTCTGCTGCCCGGGAACAACTCTCCAGACTCCGCAGTACAAGCACTCCCAGGCAAGAGCACCTGAAGTGGTTGGCTCTCTCCATGCTACTTTGCACAGATTTGTCTTAAATTTGTTTGGGACAGAGAGATAAATGTAAATTATGTTCCAGTTGAATAAAGTGAAGACTGACATGCTTCTAAGTATTTTCAGAAAAGAAAAAATTAGATGATTCTAAAATATTAATGTCAAAAAAATTGCAATACTTCAAAGATTAGGCCATAGTTGAACAGGAATTTTTTAAATCAGAGCTGCGATAATACAAGTGGAAGAGATGTGCAGAGATGGGGAAAGATGAGATGACCAGAAGGTCATGTCTGGTAAATAATAAAGGTCACTGTAGTTTAAAGAAAAAGCTAATAATGAGATACATCTCATGTATTTTGACATTTTCTCAGTCACCAGCTTTATTCAGGTACATCTCTAGACAATCTAATGCATCACTAAGACTAGATATCACTGTGTCTTAAAGGAGTTTTGCTAACTCTAGGGATCAAGCTGAGCTTTCACAAAATACTTCCTCCATACCCAAAGAAATCAGAAATAAGTCCAAACCAAAAAAATCTTCACTTGTTTCCTACACTGGAAACCTGAAAAAAAGAATGTCCTCTTGCTGAATTCTAAAGTAGCTGTATTCTGACCTTGACAGACTTCTTCAAGTCTGCCGTGGGTTGTTATCATGCCTGCTGGAAGGAACTGCTGGGATGCAAGCTAGCCAAATTATACTCTTCTCCTTGAAAACAAACAATTTGGAAGACAATATCCCAAGGATTCCAAGATTCTCTTTTTATATTTAGAAACTGTGTTCAGTTACAAAAGACTGCAATAAACATTTACATTTTTGATTGGCATGTTTTCTTCAGAACTTCTGGGTATTTTGGGGAGTATGATTTTGAAAATCCATATATTCTAAGAAAACAAACCTTTCTATCTGGAAAAAAACATTTCATATCCTATTCTATTTCTATTATATTCCCAGCTCAGGACGGTAAACTGTTTGGCAGTTCTCAGTATAGATTCATGTCTTTGGTTTTGTCTTTTTTAGTTTTTTTTAATGATCAAATTACTTGCTTTGCTAGATTAGAGTGTGAGAATGGTCTATGGAGCAGGCCCTGCACCTGTGGCAGGTTTTGCACCATTCAAGATATACAGTCTTGTTTTGTCACCAGATTGCTTGTTTGGGAGTCCAGGTAGTTGAATCACAGAGGGAGGAGGCTTAGGGAGGAAGGAGGGAAGGAAGAGAAGCACCACAAAATAGTAAACAAACAAAGAAATAAAACAAAACAAAAAAACCCAAAACAACCAAAAATTAAAGAGAAAGTAAAGGACATGAACAGAAGAGCCATTTAGGAGAGCATGTCTTGAGGTCTGGTAATGACTTTACAGACAGGCATGCCTTATTAATGGAGAGGGATGTTTAGGTATTTAGTTAAGTAGGAATCAATGGAATAAATTAATTCTCTTATCAGGGATTAATATCTGATGAGTGAGAGGAAATACTAGATGTCAGGGAGCAAAATAAACATTTACCAGGACAACCAGACAGCACAGAAGTAAGGCCAGAAATTTCTGCCGTTGATCTTGACCAGGCAAGAAGAGAAGGCCAAACTGTTCCTCTAGCTGGAAAGGAGCAAACAGCTCCTGGCAGATGAAAGGATCCAACTAACAGTTTGGGAACCGGTCTTGGTTTTTATAGGTGTAATAACCAGGCAGAAGTGTTTTTAGCATACCTGCGGCCAAGGAGGCACAAGTACTGCGAGTGAGATATTTTTGTCTTGTCTTCAGATTAAAATTTATGCTGTGCTGGTAGTAACTCAGAGAGAGGGGCTGCTTGGAATGTAAGTCTGGTGTCAGAACAGCTCTTTGTGGAGACAGGTCTTCCTCACAGTTAGTAATCTCATAGCAGTTTAAAATCAAGATTAACAAATAAAAGGGACATCAAAACTGAATTACTTTTGAAGGTACTCCCTTGAGTTCAGGGTTAAGGGACTTCATGAAGAATGCACAGGAAGGTTGGGCCATCCTTTCTGCTGTCTTCACTGTTTGAATGCCTCATACTACTGACAACCATGCTTTTTTCATTTATATGAAAAAAAGCTTGCAGGAAAATATTCCAACATCTTGGAATATTAATGTAATGTATTCCAACACTCCTGAATATTAATATCAAAACCTTGATACAGCTGCTAGCACATTACATGTGCTGACTGGACAGCTTGTAATACGCATCCTAATAAGCTGCTCACCTCATCTGACATTTTGCTCCTGATTTATTACACAATAGAGATGCTTGGTTTGGGGTTTCCTGGAGGTGCATACCAGGTATTCCAGGTTATACAGTAGGTCAACATAGCAAATGAATTGTTCCTAACACCTGAGTGATTTGAAAACTTATTCCTGGCTCTTGTACGCTTGTCACCAAGAATAGCTATGAGCATCCCCTCTCCATATAATTAGACAGAAAGCTAAAAATCTTACAAAGAGATGCAAAACTAGAGCATACATGATACCTCACAATATTATATAACACGAGAAAGGTTATTAACAAGGAACACAAGTGAACTCAAAACATGATACCACAGTAAACTGACCTTTGCAAAATGTTGCTACGAAGGCCCTCCAACTTGCACTCTGGTTGCTTTTCTGCTTATAACAGCCACTGTATGTCTGTGATTTCTACTGTTGTCTCTTTTGCTGCATTTGAGAATCTTACAGTATTCTATGAATTTGTGCTAACAATCCCTCTCTCTATGAACACATTGCTACCACCCCATGACAGATACGTAAAATTGAACGTATCGGTAGAACACAACTGAAGAGAGATTCTTCATATCCATGTAAATACTAAAGTAGGTACACAACTAGTTTTCAACAGCTAAGTAAGCATCTGTCAGTGACTTGAGGCAACTACACACTTAGGTACTTTGGACTTGATGTGGATAGGCTCCAGATTCTATCTGGCCTGGCAGCACAGAGCAAAGCAGTGAACTGGACATGCTGAACTCTGACCAGTGCCCTCCAACCCAACTGGACTTCTTTTTTTTTTTCCCTGTAACAAGGTTCTTCTTCTATTAGTATCTACCCTGTGTCACAACTACACCATTGCATTACATTGTTCTTGTTATTCATTTGCAAATTTAGTCCTTGTGAATGCCTGCTTTAAATTCTAGTGTGGCTAACCCCAAAATTGCAGTAGTAGATGGCTTAGAAATTTACATGCTTTAGCAAAAAAAATATTTTATTATAAATAAGGGAATGAGAGACTATCACTGTTGTTTAAATTACTTCCTTTCTTTTATTAAAATAAACCCAGAAATTCTAATTTAAGGCAATATATCCCAAGTAACTCACTGGGAAGAAAACCTTGAAAATACGAAACATATGTAACATTTGGTTCCTGATCAGCAAAGACCGTATGTATCAGCTGATCCTTCCATAAGTCAGGATATATAACATTTGATGTATACATTTGGAAAATGCAATGGAATCTTAAAACTAGTTACTTAAAATTTTGGAATATGCTGTTGACATTTGCCTTAAAGCACAGTGATAGCTACTCCCAAGCTGCACATTAGCATGCCATGTTACTTGCCCCTTTGCAAGTGTTATATACTGTACCTGTAGCCTCGAGAAGTCAAGATTCCTTGGGAGGTTCTTGCCTTGGAGATTTCGTCAAGTAGATCCTCTTACTGACACCTGAACCCAGGGTGACCTTGGACCATACTGGCATGCTAGAATTTCACACGACTCATCTCTGCAGGTATTATATAGTCTGAAGCCAAAATATCAGGGGAATTTGTTGTCCTATAAATGTAGACCCATATTTTGCAATAAATACTTAGATGAAGATGAGCTTTGTTACACAGTACAGTTCCTCTGCCTGCTACAGGGCAGGCAGCTGCCTGCATGCTAATGATCTACTCTACATTCAACCAGTGTATCATGCCCTGGTTATCTGACATATGAACAAGTAGGGATTAGAATAATTACCATCAATCTCTTCTCATAATACTTACTTTTAAAAGGATTTATTTAATAACAGATAACAGATGGGAAAATACACTTGTTCACACACTGTAAAAAATAAAATAATTCATCACTAAGTGTATTACTTTTGTTTGCTTCTAGCTGTCCCAGCATCTATGGTTATATTTCAATATTTGTCATATTTGTGCTCACATAGTTGTACTCACAGACTGTTTTCCTTACAATTATTTAAATTAATTGATGATTTTAAGTACCACTAGAGGGCACAGAATTATAACAATATTTCTTAGTGGATCACAAAAGGAACATCAGGAGCTCAGTAATTTTCACAATTTATTGTCCCAGTCCACAGTTTAAAGCCTCGATCCTATCAATAGTGCTGCTGTGAGCTGTGCCACTGCACACCCACAGCAATTAAACAAAGCTCAAGGGTGAGTGCTTGCAGGACAGAGGCCTGGCTGAGCAGGTTGGACCATGTGCTCTCAGTTGAATCGCACAGTTTGGTTTTCCAGAACTTGAGTATCAACCCTCAAATATTTGGAGTGACTAAGGTCAGTTTAAATCTAAGCATGGAGGAGCAGCTGATGGTAAAGGCTGCAGTACATCTTCAGCTGTACATGGATACATAGGGATGAGAAAAATGAAGAGTATAAACACCTGAATATATCAAACCACAGAAATGCAAACAAGTACTGAATGAAGGATTAACTAACTCAATTTACAATTCAAAGAAAGAAGAGTAGATATGTGCCACTGGAAAGCTTAAATATTAATGGAGTTTCTGTGGATAGTTGTATCAACTACTTAACATCTGTTTTGACATGTGTGCTGTTTCTGCCATCCCTTATCATGAGTTTGAGTGGCTGCTGTGGTTCACATGTTAGAAGGTTCCTGTTTGAAGTTGCCTGCAGTAGAGGAGAAAGTGTGGTGGAGGAAGGAAGAAGTTTAAGCTCTTCATTTAAAGACATCTGATTGAATGGCTTTGGATGCGCAGCAGTAAATTAGTACTGTTGGTGTGTCCATGTTGCATTAGTAGGGGCACAAGTTAATGTTCACAGCCAGAACATGCTTTGTAGCTTCTTTTCTGGGAGTTGAAGATGGCCTGTTAATCAAAGCTCGAGAGCCTGGCCTCTAAGTGGTCAGCACGAAAAAGCCCCACGAAATTTAACTCAATTTCTGAATGCTTCTATTGAATTTCGCTCAACATTAGCATCTACAATTACTACTTTTCATGAACCCTTCAAGAATTAGCGTCACATTTTCACATCGCGGTGCTCAGGCTGCAAAAACAGTGGCACGCAGCTATTTTTCATGAAGTTGGTGCTGAAGTGCCGGGCGGGGCTCCCAGGCGTCCCCGGGGGACGGCGGGCGCTGCAGAGCCCTGGCCCCAGGAGCGGTACAGGCGACGGCTGCCGCGCAGCAGGCGGCCGCGGGGTGCGGGGGGAGCGCTAGTGGG